TTTTTTTTTTTTTTTTTTTTTTAACTGTAAAATTTCTTGTCTGCTAAGTTTTTGATGTAATCTCGCAGGAATAGACTTTAACAGATTGGTGAGGTGAAAAAATTCAAAAGCTAACCCTTTTATTTTGTTTGTGAGTTGAGAAAGTTTTCCTGTAAAAACAGAAATAGCATGTTTTTTTATTCAAGCAGTGTTATTAGATGAAGGGACCAAAGTGAATAAAAAGAGGTATTGTTTGGGGATGAGGTTGGGCATTACTTTTTCTCTTTTTTCCTTGGTAGAGAAGAAGGAATCCTAGCCAGGCTTATGGGAGATTTGACATATTTTTGTTTTTCTTTTGGTTTGGACAATGAAGTCTTGCTCGCACCTTAACACTAATTTTTTTTAAATCATTTTAAGTGTCTGTCTTATATTAATGACTTGATGTATTTAACAAATTATTTATTTTAAATATTAATTTTAAAAATTAAATATTAAATCTAACATATAAAATGATATTTGTTTACAATTAAATTTAACTTTTGGGAGAGATTTGACATATGTTTGTTGATGAAAAAGGTGAATCGAATGACAATATCAGAGACAAAATCAGCCTCAAAAAGATGAATCTATAAACACGATTTTATGAGTAAAAGTGAGAAAGGGGAAATGATAATGTCCTTTATTCACTTCTTGAGGAGCAGGTGTCGAATACACAAAATTTCTCCCTTTTAGGCACCAGCTCTTATAGGTCAATTAGGTGGTGCACCAGTTGCCTTGGTTGATCAATCACGGCTCTGCTAAGCGACAATCTCCCTCCCTCTATCTCTCCAAATTGCCACTGCTTAAAATTCAAATTTGAGACTTTCCGTTACCAATTAATCCTTGAATTATTTGAATTAAAACTTCATTAAACCAAGTAACAACCTATTATTAGACTTTTCAATGAAAATTAGAGAAAAAGGAAAATTGATAATACTGTGTTTCTCTTGTTGAATGGAATTGGCACACAGCCAATGGAATGCCTTCTGTCTTGTGGCATGAGGAATTTAAAGTATAGTTGCATAAATTTTGTTATGTAGTAATGCTTTAAGGGTTGAAGTTGGGATGATGTGTGGTTTTTATGAATTAATGTAGCTAAATTGTATATGGTTTGAGTAGCTTTTATATTATCATGAGTCATAAATGAAATTATTATTGTAGATAAAAAAAAAAAGAAAGTAATTAAGATCATTGCATACTTTAGTTATCCAAAAACCTCTAAAAGTTCAATGAATTGTCAATTCTATGGAGAAAACACATTGATCACTATCCACTTGAGCCAAGACAATATACCCCAACCCACCACTTCCAAAAAAAAAGGAGGTTGTTTTGTCAGCAGCTGTTTCATTGCAATAGGCCTTTGCCCCCAACCCCTCCAACCACCCCCCCCCCCCCCAAAAAAAATCCTGTTTGGGCCAACAAACAAGATAGTGGGACTTTTTGTTCTGTAGGTGGACACAATTATTGGAAAAACATAGCTTTTCAACTCCTTAACAGCAAAGAAATCAGAGTTCTTTTTGTTAGTTTATTTTTGAAGAAATAAGTAGTTACAAATTCTCCAAATAGTCATGTTCATTTATAAATTTATGACTCTTTGTAAATGCATGTTTATTGCACAATCTCATATTTTCAAAGGAATCTTTCTTGTTCTATAAATAGGTCATCTAAATTCCCTTATTTGCATGCAGTTTTTTTCACATACAACTATAAAAGTTGCTTACAAGTTCTCAAAATTTATCACTATATTGTAAACCAAATCACCTTTGTGTATAGTTTGTTGTAGAAAATCATACACAAGTCAGAAATAATTTTGCTTTTCTTAATAAATGCTCAATGATTTGACTCCGTCAATGTAAAACTTTGTCAAACATTGAGCTTTATTATATCCTGAGAATTTTCACCATGAAACGGTCATTTGTATACCTAATCTATGGTTTGTATACCTAATCTATGGTTAGTAGGGGTGAATAAAAATTATAAAGAAAGTAACATTACACATTATAGTACACTTAAAACTGTATTTTCTTTAGGTTCCAACAACAAATCTAATAGAAATCAACTTTGGTTAATTCAAAAAAAGGTCCCTCACTAAATTTTTTGATTTACCTAATTCCTTATACACGTGATACATGTACAGCAGTTGGCGGTTCATAGTTCTAATGGATCAACATTAGAAGTGACGTGGTGCCACGGTGGATTGCAAACACCAAATACTTAGTGAAAAAGGAAATAAAAGAACCCATTAAATGGAAAATTTAAATCCCCTCTATTGAGATTTAATTTTGTGGAATGTGGATTGCCTTTTTCTAATTGCATCACCTGTTTTTAACTTTAATAAGAGAATGCTTTGGCAACAAAATGAACTTTAAAAGTAGTATGCCTGATTATGTAAATTTCAAAAAGGAGGGGGGGCATTTGCAAATTTACAAAATCTCCTTTTCCTAATCATTAATTTGTGGATAAGATAGAGTACTTCCATGTCTTTCCTTATTAATGACTACAATTATTTCCATTCATTTTTTTTCAATTTCAGATCGTGTGTCATGTGTTATTTCTTTTCGTTAAAAATAAAATGTTTTAAGTTCAAATCGTATGATATGTGAATAAGGTAAGATAAAAAATAAAAAATAATTACTTCCCATTATGCAACTAAGACAAAAACAAAAAAAAAAAGTGTGCCACGTGAAAATCTCTTCATAGAGTAAAGCAAGTGATGGTAAGTTCAAGTTTTACGCACGTATATGTTAAGTGAATAAGGAAGAAAATAATTATTTTTTATTTTGTCATTAAGATTTAAAAAAGAAAAAAAAATGTGTGTTACATTTGAATGGGACAATTAATGATCAAAAGTAGAATATATATATATATATCAGTGATCAAAACATACATAAATTAAAAAAAAAAAAAACCATTTGTGGCTATATTTTTTGGGAATAATTGAATTAAATTGGCTTAAATATAAATCTGAAAGTAATTCAAAATTTTATTAAAACTCGAAGATTTGACTTATCGATTTGTTGCTTGAAGAGTTTTTGAAGCTCATAACTAATAGATTGAATGTTAAAAATCATGAAATAATTTTTTTTTTTTTTGAACAATGAGAAATTTATGACAGAAAGGATTTTTAACAATAGTCGTTCACAGAACTCAAACCGTTGAATGAGCCACCGCATAGGTGCATTTTGCTAGTCCAACCGAGGCTGCAAATACAAGTATACTTCTAAAACATTATTATTATTATTATTTGGAATTTTGTTTTATAACTTAAATTATAAAATATAAATTATTGAATAGAGGACAACATTATCCAATAATGTATAGGCTATTTGATATAGAAATTTAAAATTAACTGTTAACAATTTTATTTAATTTAATAGTTAATAATAATAATTATTAATAATTTATACATTTTTATTTATTAAATTAAATAAAACGGTTAATATTAATTTTAAACTGCTATACCAAAACTATCCCTTTAAACAACTCAGCTTGTACAATATTGTTTTATATTTTCTTCATCGAGAGAAAAAGGTCACATTGTCTCAATGCAATTCAATACAACACGTACAATATATAAAATTAATTGTGCAACGTGCCGATAAGAACGCCGTGGATTGTATAATGGTTGATACTTGAAAATTGCACATGTGAATTTTAATATAAAATTTATATTAATTTAAAGTCAATTGAATATTTTTTTGTCATACCCTTAATATGAAAACAAACTCTCATGTGTAGGCCTAAAACGACACCTCACCATAGCATTTAGGGGAGTTTGGTATTAACTTCAGAACGTATCAAGTAGGTTGACAACAAGTTTCTTAGTACTTCTAATATCATGTGATTAACAATGGTTTCTCAGAAGATAAACCTTAAGTTATAATATTATGTGAAAAATATAAGTTTCAACTTAAAATTTACATTTAAATTAAAATTAATTAATAATAAATAAAATAATTCTTCTTATATTTAATTTATATATTTATTTTATATATTTCATGATGTGAAATTTTTTTCACTTAACGTGATGTCTTAGGTTGTGGTAGTCAGTGTAATGTGGCAACGTGCGGTGAGCGAAGGAATGAAGGGTGTAGCTGGTACTGCACGCCCCCCCCACCCCCCACCCCCCAACTGGATAGCCACCTCACGGCAACATGTGGTGGTTTTGCCGGGGAAGTATGGTAAAATGCTGGCACAGCAACTTGGGCAACTTGGTGTGCGTCCCTTTGATGAGGCCCCAGTGTCTGAAAAGCTGATGTTTCTGTGGATCTTGTCTGCCTGTGTTGTACGGATCGGAATCTTTGCAACATTGATAATTCATAAAATTTGGTCGAAAGTATACATCGTGTGGTACAAACATTTATGCAAGAAGTTTGAAAATTGTTAAAAAGAGCTGCACCTCATATTTTGAGAAAAGATAAATATGTATTCACACTCCTGTACCATACATTCAGTTACACACTTCAGCTTTCATTATTTTGTTGTTAATTACATGTAACTACGTTATCATCTCTTCAGTCATCTTCCAACTCACCCAACCCTTTTCGTCTAGTGTTTTTAGCTGCTGAACTCTTCTCCTTCCTCGAAACCAGATCTACTTCATCCTTTATTTATTTATTTATTTTTGGGCTGCTTGGTGATGACAATGATAATGGTGGTGATGGTGACAATGGTGATGGAAAACAAAGGGATCTATGGTTCTGCCCCTCTCCTTCTATTTCGGTGGTGATTGAGGATGGTGATGGAGGTGGAGGTTGTGATGATGATGAGATGCAAGGAGATGGTCTAGATTTACAGAAGGGAGAAGAATTGAAAGAGAAGAAGAGGTGGGTTCTCGGAGAACCTAGACCGAGAAAGAGAAAAAAAAAAAGGGTCTGGGTTCTCGAGAGAACCTAGATCAGGTTCTTCAAGAACCCGAGAGAAAAAAAAAAAAAAAAAGGAGGTGGGAACACGGTGAGAGGGAAATGGAGACTAACGGAGAGTGTGAAAGTTAACGGAAAAATAAATGTGTAATGGGAGTGTGGTATGAATGTGTGTGTGCCAATCATGGTTCTTTGAGAAATATGGAACAAATCTCAATTCGAAGGGAAAAACTGCATTGTTACACTGTTTGTTTTTTGGAAAGGAATCGAAAATATGAGATGGTGACACCTTGTAGTAATTATCAAACCTACATAAGCACTTTTAGGAATTTTTGCAAACTTTTCTATTAACTTTAAGGTCCAAGATAAATTGAGTCGTCTATATATATATATATATATATATTTGAAGACAATATGGCCAGGACGCACAAAAGAATTTGTCAATATAAAATGGCCCTGAAACATACATTAAACATTCACATGAGAGAGGCGAAACTTGATTTTCTAGATTGAGTTACAATATATCAAGTATGCACATGATTTCTAAAGGCACAAATATTTTGATTTCTTACAAGGTGCTAACGGAATGATCAGTAAATGAAACAACTCTTTACTGTCAACCTTATTTTTCCGATGTGGTTTGAAAATGTTTAATCCTATTGTAAGTAAAAGGCTAAAGTTTGTCTCCCCTAATTAAAGAAAAAATTCTATGTTTTGCAATCTGAACTATACATAATTGTAAAATACAAATCATTAAATACAATATAACTTTAATATTAGAAATCCGTCATTATCATATAATTTATATTATACAATTCAATGCAATTTGCATAACATCACATTTCCTTTAAAAGAAAACATGAACTTCGGAAAAACAGCAGCTTCAAATAACGATAATAACAACGAAGCATGTTTTCTTTGTAAAAACAAAGGAATTCAATACAAGGAAGTATGATTATGAAGAAAAAGAGTGTTATGTAACCACCCAACAAGACTCCCAATTCAACAGTCCCTTATTTTCATGCTCACCTTCTTTGCACCTGCCTGCCCTTTGGAACTTTTCAATTCCCATTTCACCCCCCATTTCCAAACTATTTCCATCGGTCTCCCACTCATCTTCTTCCTCCTCCTCCTCCTCCTCCTCCTCCTCTTCTTCTTCTTCATAATTCCCATCGCTTTCAAACTCTTCTTCCTTTTTGTCTTCAATACTTACTTCTCCACATTTTCCATCGGCTGCTTCCTCAGGGTCAAAACTAGTAGTGGAGTAATCTTTCAAAAGGCTCAGGCGGAGGCGGCCATGAGTTCTTTCAGCTTGAAAGAGAGAGCGTTGTGATGGGACCTTTACAGCTTTGATCACCAGCCGCCCACCTTCACGGTGGGACCTCATTTGGAGAGATTCCGATCCACTTATGGTCGTCAGAGGTGGTGGAAAATTGCGGGAAATCGCTTTCTTTGTCCCAAAAAGCTGTCCATGTTTCACCTGCTCCCTTACCGGATAATCAACCACTCCAACACCATTAGCCTCCGTTGAAGCAGACAAGAAGAAAATGCTGTCCTCTGAGATATCACTCCCCGTTTCACTCCCTAAATTCTCCGTACATAATTCCAAGCTTTTCTCACTAAGCGTCGAGAGAGAACGCTTCACCATGGGATGAACATAAGTGTTTTCTTCCTCTGTTTTCTCTTTGGAGCTTTGGGAAGTAATTGAAAGAGCTTGAAGGAAACTCCATCCCCCCATTTCAGGAGTTGGAGAATTATTTATTCTCCTTCTGTTTTCCTCATGAAAACATTTTTCTTCCATTTCCTGTTTGGTGTTGGGATCAACAAAAGTAGATTTGAAGGATAATTCAAGGGATTGGGAAAAATGAGAACTAGGTGAAGATAATTTGAGTCTTATTGTTGTCATTGACTCGACAAGATTAGAGTCAAGACATGATTGTGGACCTTGACACACAACGATTGCCATATGGAATTTATGAAATTGGAAGCAAAGGAAGAGTGGAAATGTGAACAGAGGGAAAACAGAGTGAAGAATATGTGTTGGAGTGGTCTGAGGAGAGAAAGGGAGAGGGATGTTGGGCATGAGGAGAAAGTGAGGGATGGGGGTGTAAATTTGTAGTGCCAAAAAGTTGCAGGAGGTGTATTGTAGATGTGGGGAAGAGAGGGCTTTTACTGCCACTTGAATTATATAACTTTGAATCTAACCATACCCTGCAAAAGAGTATAAAGAAACACAAAAAAGGTTGGGAGGAAAACAAGGGGGGAAGTACTCTATTAATCTATATATTCTAGTACTCGAATGGAAATTGAGATTTTGAAGTGGCTATAATTTTGATAATAAAAAGATAATGGCATGGATGGAGTTTGAGAGAAGAGATGCTAATTAATAAGAACACAAAAATTTGAGGTCTCAAAAAAAAAATTTGTCATTTATTGTATAATTTATTATCTAATGTATTAAAAAAATGAGACAGAAAGGATGTTTGGTTAATCAAAATTACCAAATTTCCCTATTCCCTTCCAAGAGAAGGCCAACAAAGGGGCAGGACAGGATGGTTCGAAGCCTATGTTGATGGTATTCAAACCGGAATAAATAATATGACAACATCAGTCCACAGCCTTTGAAACTAAATCCATTGTTTTAGAGTCAAAACACATGTTGATAATATTGAAAATGGAATAAATAATTTCATAACAGTCCACAGCCTTTGCAATTTCAAGGAAGCTAATTTACACAAACGGGCATGAATCAAGCTGACGAAAATCTCCACTTTTTTACACAAAAATACGGCTAATTACATTGCCAAGCAAAGGGTAATCCTGCAAAATAACATTGTTCATGGATCTATAATTATGTTTTGGAAAAATACATGTTTGGACCGACAAGTTCCTATGTCCCACCATGGATTTAAACAATCACAAAACCATGGTGAGCCCCACCTGAAATGACATTTCTCAAGTTTTTCCAAATGCAGTCAGGTAATTCAACACAGAGCTCTACAGTGTACAATTAAACATAAACCAATTAATTTGCTAAAAACACAGAGAAAGGAAAGTTATATGAAAAAAAAAAAAAATTCACTAAAACATGTAAAAAATAAATATATAAATTCTAGTTTTTAGGTATCGTACTAATTTCTTTTCTCTATTCCTCTAAAATTTTCCTGTCCACCAATCATAACCTAAGAGAATGCAATTTATTATCATTACTTGAGAAATTTTCTATGATGTACTCAACATTCAAAAGTTTGGTTTGTGTTACCATCATTCTGATCTCTGGCTTGTGGCCTTCCATCGATTCAAAATTGGAACTTTGTCTAATTGTACGGCCTAAGCTCATGCAGATTGATTTATAACCATTCTTTGAAAAAGAAATGATCCTCCACTAAGTATATCTCTAAATCCCCTCACCCCCTGTTCTTGTCGGCTAGGTGCTTACCTATCAAGGCTGAAAACACAAACTCCCTCACAAAAAATCTTTTCTAAGTGTCTGGTGTTTTGCAGTCTGGACTGCAAAAGACCAGCTATTGGATTATAAGTAGGCCTCTCCTAATTTAAATTTAATGATTAGTCTTTTGCAATCTGTATCACAAAATATCTTTTTGTTCTTTAAAAAGAAAGAAAGGTAAAAAAGAACCAAAACACATATAATAAGAATGAAACCGAAAAAGACATAAGAATCAATGAAGGGCTGAAAAGCATAGGAAAAAAAGACCAACCCTAGATGTTTAAAGTATGGCTAGGGCTGATTAACCTACAAAAGCTGGTATTTGCGATTTTGAGGAGGATTTAAGGTTCTTGTGTTTCCTAGTATGGAAAAGCATTGCTCAGAAGGGAAAAACTGAAAAGGGTAAGGAGCTGGCAGCGGCGACCATCACAGTATGTGCAATTAGCTTTTGAACATTGCCTGTGTGATTACACATAAAGGCAAATGTATGTGGTTCCACATGCATGAAAAAGGACAGATTACCGTATGCTTTTCGTATATAATTATGCACGGAGAGTGTGTGTTTTGCTGAGAAATGGTACACGTCTTATGCGGAACCAAATGTAAAATGCAAAATATTAAGAGCAACTGTCATGTGTAACGTGGTATCTAATACATTATGCATTATTACACATCACAACTTGGAACAAAAGAAGAATTGAATTCAACATCTGTTTTTCTTCAAAGAACACTAGACTTCATATTGAAAAAAGAAAGAAGCTCCGACGCTAATGCATGCAAAAGACTGGTCCTGGCTTTCCTTATTATCTGTCATTTAATTAGCATTTCTCGGAGATAAATCAACAAATGCAAATAGAATGAATGAAAATCATATTTACGTGTTTGAGGAAATTATTTCATGAATCTTTCATGTTTTTCTCTGTTCCCCATTTTCTTTCCACGTCTAAACAAACATTTCAGCAATTTTCAAGCAGGTCTAGGTGAGGTAGGCAGGTTTTTCTTCTAATGTTTTTCCACAGAATATGGCATCTAGTTCAACTAAAGCTTACTTTTCTTCATTTATGCAGAAGTTCAGCACTATTTGCCTATCCAATTTTTCAAAGGAACTATTCACAGATACACGACAAGCGATGTAGTCGTTAACAGTCCACCGGGTCAAATAATTGTTGTCATGTCCAGCCATCAATAAGATCTAACTTGGTCAGAAAATCAAACCAATATGTCATTTCCACGCAGAAATTCAAGTCATATTCTTTGAATCATTATCTTTAACCTCCCAAGGAAAAAATGAGTAACATATGGAAAAGAAAGCGGGTACCTTATCAGATTTCTAGTTGTTGACAAGAACTGAAAAAGGATATAGATTCCCACAGATTTTCATATTAAGTTTGCCTCTTCAAGTTCCAATTGGCTTGGGATAATCATTTCCCTATGATAGATAGGTCAAAAACTCAAAAATAGTCTAGATCCTTTCCTAGAAAATTTAAAATATGGATATTAACAAGCCTAATTTAGCTTATATAAACTTGCATATTTTATTTCCTTTTTCACAAAAAAAGAAAAAAGAAAAAAAAAGACTTGCATATTTTATTATATGAGGTTTTTGTTTTTCAATTATATTTTATTAAATTACAAAATATAAATTATTAAATAAGTGAAAACTATTAATAAAAGGAGTTTCTCTCAATTAATAATTTAAATTACAAAACTAAAACAATTAAATGGAGAGAGATTGAGATCCACTTTGCATACAATGACGATTAAATTGCACAACAATTTTTATTTATTATATTTAAGGATACCAGACCTTAAAGCTAACATTTCTTGTAATTTTGATTAATCAATAATAGAAAACTTTGCAGGTTGAGATGGAAGAGAAAAGACATATGCAAGTTAAACAGAATGAGCAGGCAACTAAGGTTCAAAGTGTTGCATGATGGTATTTTCATTTTATTCTCTCCCAAATTAAAATGTTATACTTTCCATCTTGAATGTCCCATATCAAACATCCACTTGCTAAAAGTAGAAGATCAATCTTAACTTTTCTGTATTGCCCCTAAACCATTTCAAATTGCATTTCTTTCTTAAGTCGACTAGGTTAGGTTTCCTAAAAATTCTGCTATTAGCAACTAGAGACGATTTGGCAAGAGGAAGAATAAAGTAACATTTTTCAATGAACTGGGTACATCAAGGATGCATCATAAGACTAAAACCTTTTGGTCTGGGCAACCAAAATATTACAACTCGAAACTGCTTGAACTTAAAAGTTCAAAAGGGAGATTTGAAAAACAGCTCAGTAACACATCTCAAGAATATTAGGAGAGTTAAAGAGAGTTTTAATGTATATAATTAAGCATATGGACAGGAACTTAACCCCAAAGGCATCCTTTCTCTCAGTATCTATATGTTAACTAAAGCTCAAATGGTACAATGTGGTCCTAACCCTTAAAGTGGTATCAGAGCACAAAATCAGGGAAAGAAAAGGCCTAGTAACCTTTGGTAGCTCTAAGCGAGCATGCTTTTCGGCCTTCTCCTACCTAGTAGAGAAAATTCTTTTATCAGTCAGCTAATAATAATTATGTGCGCCAACTGAGAACAGAAAGCAAGAGCACTATGTTTTACATCAAAATCTGTCTCGTTTCTTTGGTTTGGTATAACTGTATGCCCCCAAGAGAGAAAACTGCATCAGAATTCATCAATATTTGTTTAATTATGTTTGAAGTAATGGAGGAATACGTCATATCTGGCGTTAAGTGAAGAAGCCTAAAGTTATGCTTTTGATAATTTTCACCATAATTCAGATTTTAATCGAGACTTTAACAAGAAAGACAGGAGAATCTAGATCATGGCTTAAGTAAGCATGTAAAGCTAGCACTCTCTCCCTATTTTTCAAACATGTGTTAGCACCAACTTTTCCTTTCCTTTCTCAATTGTTATCATTAATTTTCTTAACTAATAAGGACAATAGGAACAAAACAAGACATGCCTACATAATCCATGCAAACAATTATGTTATAAAACTGATAGTCACAATCTACCTAATTACAAGGCAACCAAAAAATTTTATGTTGGGGCTTGAAAAATTTTGCTAGGGGAATGTAAACATCACATTCAAGGTTAACTTTACAGACAATGACAAAAAATTTTAATCTATTTTCAAGCGGCAGCATGACTAAGTCTCTTGCCTACCATTGTTCTAATCATTAACAACATATAAATTAAGTAGAAATCTATCACCTTCAGCTAAAAATGACCGATGACAGAACTTCCTAATAATATGGTCTGCAATATATATATATATATATATATATAAGAGTTAGTTCTTATTCGCTTTTACTTTCTAAAAAGTAGGAGGAAAATTATTTTAAAACTACGTCGTTTTAATTAAGTACTACAAGAAATAATAAAAAACATTTTAATTCATGCTTTAAAAATAAAATATTTTAATCATTTTAAAAATAAAATATTTTAATCATTTTAAATATAAGTTTATTGAAATGATATAATTTTAAAATAATTTTTTTTCTAATATTTAGGAAGTAAGGCAGATATGCATTATTTCCTACATATATTATGTTTTGAATCTTAGATTTTTGGTACTCTGAAGGAATAACAGTAATTAATAGGTGTTCAGACAGCTTACAAGTCGGTAGCTGGACTGCTTAGAAGACGTGTTGATTTAGTTTCAACAAAGGAAGACAGAGCTCCTTACT